CAGGTTCAGGACCAATTAATCAAAAAAAAAAAAAAAGCCAAAAACAACACCTTCAGAAACCTACGAAACTTCAGAAAATCTGTCGCCCTACGAAAATTTAATAAAATTCTTACAAGAAAATATTAAATTTTTGAACAGAGAAAAAAAAAGGCTATATGATTTAGTCGACTAAATCGACTAAACATAGTAATTTACATATAAACTTTTTAGTCGACTAAATCGATTTCTATACAAGTCAACAAAATCAATGAAGCAGATTTTAACAAAAATTTGAAGAATTCCAAACCCTTATAAAAGGATAGGAAATTAATTTTAGATGAACTAATCGAAAGTAAAGAGATTATCGACAAGCATGAATTCACTACAATGGATATGAGACAAATCGTCAAATGCTTTTAACGTCAGCGCGAAGACCTAAAAATTGAGAATGAAAGATTAGTCGCCGAAAATGCCGATTTAACGGAGGAAAATAAGAAAACGCTCAACTTAAAATGGAAACGAATGTAAAGAGATGATCGACAAGCATGAATTCACTACAATGGCTATGAGACAAATCGTAAAATGCTTTTACCGTCAGCGCGAAGATTTAAAAATGGAGAATGAAAGATTAGTCGCCGAAAATGCCGATTTAACGGAGGAAAATAAGAAAACGCTCAACTTAAAATGGAAATCGAGTCTTTAAAAAGACAAAGTACATAGTTTTTTTTTTGTATGGTCAATTTTTTATTTTTAAGCATCATAATAACATCTGTTCGATTTAAGTTTCAGAAAAAGACAAAGAAACTCAAGAGGTACAATAATTTCGTATATTATTTGAATTGTTTAGTGCACACAAATTAAACTGTGGTCACATTTCATCGCAGAAATAAGAAGCTACCAGTACAATCTTTTTTTCTATATAAGCAATGACAGAGGGTCTTCATATGACGGGTGATTTAAAAGCCACGTCAATTATTGTACATAATATATATAGATTGCACCTTCACATGTAAATAAACATATTTTTTAAATAAATAAACATGACACTTGATATATTCTAAGGGTGTAATATTATAAAAATACCAAATTAAGCAAAAAAATGGTTATAAAAGGAAATTATAGTTTCACGGATTTGGTTGCGTTTTTAAAAACTCTTAGTATCCCCATTATTGATCTTGTGTCTTTCACGTGTTGTATCATGCTGTGCTTTCTTGATCTTGATTAGCCACTTCGTTTCACTTCTCTCTGAACGGATGTCGTATTTATATGAAAAAAAATTTAATCATATAAAATGGAATATCGAGTACTTATTTCGTGTTACATATTTGTTATTCAAAATAAAAATCGTGCTACATTACTGTGCGTTTTGAATTTTAGAAAACGACATATCGTACGATAATTTTAGAAATTTTCATCGTTACATATAATCGTTTTTACAAATATTTCTTTGAAAAAATTTATTTATATAATGTTTTAGGATTCTGTGCTCGGGTGTCTAAAATGATTTTAAATTTAGAAAAATTGGCCTGCCAAAATAACCATAATTTTATAATGTTATTAATCGTAACCACTGCTGTCGCGCAAAACTTTATAATCAATTAATTTAACTTATAAAAAGTTAGTATAATGGTCAAAATAAATTAGCTGCCCGATACGATAGTATCGGAGCAGCATTTTGTCTCAAATCGAACACGGAGTCTAATTAATTGATCGAATGATTATTGTGTATCATGATTTATTGCTTGATAATTAGGGGTGTATTATGCAAACGTTTATAGCGAAATGACGTGGCTTTTAATTGTATTGTGTAGTATTTTCGATTAGTAATCGTGGGAGTTTATCAGTATAATTAATTGCGTAATTTTTTCGATCTGGTGATCGTTAGAGTTAGTTATAGTAGCGACGTAATTACGTAGTTTTTTGATTTGTAATCGTTAGGGCATACTTAAAGGGAATGGTTTTTTTCCCAGACAAGATAATTTCTGTTTTTTTT